CTTCCTTCCTTCCTTCCTTCCTTCCTTCCTTCCTTCCTTCCTTCCTTGTTCTAGGCTGCTTCTCTCCTTGATTAGTTTCCATCCATTGCTTCTTGTCCTGCCTTCAGGTGCTTTGGAGGATAGATCTACCCCCTCTTCCCTGGGACAGCCCTTCAAGTACTGAAGATTGCTCTCATGTCACACCTAGTCCTTCTCTTCCTTTAGAATAGACAAACCTAGTTCCCTAGTTGGGGTGGTAGAACGTGCCTCTGAGGCAATTTCGAACAGCCAAGGTTTTGTTGTCCTGGCTGCCATCTTGATTATTTTTTTTGACTCCCCCAGCAAATCCTCCCCCTTAACACGCCTGTTAAACTTCCCCAAATTTGCAGCAGGCCAACCAACCACCCTTGATTCCCATGGCACACAACAAACAGACACACATACATGTGGGAATGTGTACATATACCATTCTCCAGATGTGGCGGACTCTAGGTCTTATAATCCTCGTCCGGTGTAGTTAAGGATAATATGTGAGTAGAGTAGAATATAAGATGGAATAGAATAGAATAGAATAGAATAGAATAGAATAGAATAGAATATGGTGTAGAGTAGAAATAGAATAGAATTGAATAATGGAATGAAGGAATAGAATAGAGTAGAGTAGAATAGAATAGAATAGAAGATGGAGTAGAGTAGAATAGAATAGAATATGGAGTAGAATAGAAGATGGAGTGGAGTAGAGTGGAGTGGAATGGAATAGAATAGAATAGAATACCTTGTCATTGCATTCCACAAATACAATGAAATTTTAAAGCTACTCCAGCACAGTGCCCCAAACACCGCATCACAATCACGCTACCCTGTATTTAAAAATTAAAATAATTATAACAATAGGACTAAATCACAAATGCACTGTTTGATTCAAGACCATTACTGCCTTGGAAAAGAAACTGTTTCTCAGTCTATTAGTCTTCATTTTCAGACACCTATAACGCCTCCCTGGTGGTAACAGATCGAAATATGAACGTCCAGGATGAGAACGGTCTGTGGAGATTTTTTAGTGCTCTAGAGAGGAGTCTGGCCTTCGCAATCTCTTCCAAAGAAGAAAGAGAGCAAGCAATGATTTTTTTTTGTGCTGTGTTTATAACTCTCTGGAGCATCTTCTTATCCACTGCAGAGCATCCAGCATACCACACCATTACACAGTATGCCAAAATGATCTCAGTGGGTAGACTGGTAAAAAGTAACCACCAA